ATACCTACTGAACTTAATACAGCATTCTAAATATCAGGAGTACTGTCTTCTGTAAAACATACTTGTGTATCCCACTTACATGTTTTACCTAATCTTGTTTTTTTTGCCTTTTAATCTAACTATATTTAGTATTATTTTGTTCCTTATATCTCTCACCTTTTTATTACTATATTACTTCCAAATTGGTTTTATTTAGGTATGTCTGATCCTTATAATCTTTTTATTTTTGGTTTGTCTGTTATTGATTCCTTTAAAGTATTTTGATAATGGTCTAGAATCTGCAATGAATCTGTATCTTAAGCCAAACCTGCTATTACCATTGATCTGTTTGACCAATCTGTATTTTAAGCCAAGTCTGCTGCTACCATTTCTGCAAATGTTTTAGGTCTTAATGTTATACAGTAACTTGATACTGCATTTAACCTTCAATATGATGCTTCTTTCTATAATAAAAACTGAGACTTGTTGCATTTACAAACAAAACAATTTTGGTTATATTTAGAAAGTTCTTCTGACCCTAATAATACCATATTACTATATATTACAAGCTCTTAGCTTATTCAATAATACTTGCAAGACAATTCTGATTATGCCTAAAAAGTTATACTAACTCAGTAATATTATACTACTTTGCAGATTTTATCTTACATTAGTTGGTTGATCCTAGTCTTGTTCATCATAGACTTCCATATAGATACAACTAAAACTTGATTTAGTATTTTTATATTGTACAAAAAAGTTATATGCCAATTTTCAAGATTTTTCCTTTTTATAATTAGATTATTCAGCTGTGTCAGAGGTGCTTCCAATTTTTAGTTAGGCCAATCCTTTACTACAGCCCATCTTCATCTTCATCACTTCTCTTACTATTCTAGTTTTGGTTATTTTTTAGACTACTCTTTTAATCAAATTCTCTTCTTAAATCCTAATTAGAACTTATTTGCATAATTTATTGATTATCCTTCCAAGCAAGTACTCTACAAGTTGGGTGCAAGAATGTTAATGCTGCTTATATTAGGAGGTATGAGGATGTTGGTGCTGCTCTAGCCTAAAGGACTTATATGCATAATCTTTCTATAACTATAACCTTTTGTAACAACTACTTGTTATGCATAGTGTCTATATTTCATAATTGAGTCTTCTTTTAAGAATTTCTATTTTCATCATATACTGCACTTGAACTTAACTACAGAGCTTTACATTTAATTACAGGTTTCTTATTAGGTTACAGAAGCTAAAATCTTTTAATTTTGACTCCAGCTAAACTTGAACTATTTGATCTTGACTGTAGAGAATATAAAAGCTTAACTGCTAAGCTATGGAACCTACACCTCTTTAATATTAATAATAGTAGTATAAATTTTTTTAATTTTACTAATACTAGAAATTTTCATTAGTACTTTAATAAAACAAAAATAATATGCTTTAAAAAATTTAACTAATAACAAAAGTAATATATCTTTTTTATATTTTTTCTAGTATAATAACAAAAATAATATACTTTTTTCAGCATAGTAATAAAGAAAATATGTTTTTTTTTAATATAGTAAAAGAGACAATATGCTTTTTTTTATATAGTAATAGAAACAATATGTTTTTTTAGTATAGTAACAAAAGCAATATGCCTTTTCTAATATAATAACAAAAATAATATGCTTTTCTTAGTATAGTAACAAAGGTAATATGTAGTTACAGAAGCAATATGTTTTCTATAATAAAGTAGCAAAAACAATATATCTTTCTTAATAAGTAACAAAAGTGATATACAAAAAATATGCCTTCTATAGTAAAGTAACAAAGACAATATGTTTTCTTTAATAAAAAAAAACTGTATTATAGTTTAAAATTTATTTAAATATCAAAAAAAAAAAAAAAGTTTAGTAAATTTGAATCTATTAATGAAACAAATCTGTTTGAATTCAAATTTGAATTGATAAATATTAAAACTTTTGCAAATAATGAAATTATATTTTTATTAAATTATAAAATTATATTCTTAGCTTTAAATGATGAAATTATATCTTTACTACTAAGTGATGAAATTACAACTTTATCTTTAAGTAATAAAATTATATCTTTATCTTCAGATAGTAAAATTGCATTCTTATTTTCAAATAAAACATATAAACTATGAAAAAAAATCTTTTCTATATATAACAAACACTTGTTAGAAATTATCTTAAAGAACCTTTGGTAAAATTAACAAATACTAATTATATACACAAGAATTTGACAATCAGACTGCAATATCAACTATTAATCAGCATTTTTAATTAATGATCTGCTAGTCATCTAAATAAAAATCTTAGTATAACATAACACAAATCACTATAATTACTATAGGCTAAAATGTAGCATATGCCTATTAAAACTTTTTTTGGTACTAAATTAACAGTCTAAATTAATTAATTAAAAGTTGTAAAGCTTACTGAGATGCATCTAATAATGATTAGATCATTTAAATCAGTCTAGTAGATACTAAAATACTATCAAAAAACAATTGGCCAACTATGTAAAATTCTATATAAATAAACTATTATTTATATAAAAATTTTACATAGTTAGCCAATTATTTTTTGACAAGATCTCAACATCTATTAAACTAATTTAAATAATCTAACTGTCATTAGATGCACCTTAATGAGCTTTACAACTTTTAATTAATCAACTTAAACTGTTAATTTAGTACTAAAAAAATTTTAGATAAGTGCATACTGCATTTTAGCTTATAGTAAAATATATAATAATCTGCATCATATTATATTAAAATCTTCCTTTAGATAACTGATAGATCATCAATTAAAGCTTTCATCTTGTCAAATTTATTAAAATTAAATAACATAACTTTGATAACTTAACTCTTATAGTTTAAATAAAAAATACAAGATTGATATTTTAAATAATCAAATTTTAAGATAAATAGTTATTAATTAATAATTATTTTTATTAGCCAAAAATGCTAAGTTTATTAAATTTTTACAAAACTTGATCTCTATTATTGTTATTCATATTACTAAATACTTTTGACTTAAATTAGTCAAGAATATTTTAAAAATAAAACTAATATTAATTTTTTTTTAAATAAAATTAAATTAAAAATTTTAATTACAATAAACAGTTAAATATTAGTTTAACTATATATTGGATAGATTCTAAATAGAAAATAAATCAAATTTTGTTTGATATAATTTCATTTAATAAAACCTATACTGCAATTAAACAGACTAATACAATTATTGAACTTTTAAAATAAATAGATATTAGCTAAAAACTTCTTAAAATTACAATTAATAATACTGTAAATATGCTTGCAATAAAATATATTCTAAAAGAAAAAAAGAATAATAAGTTTAGTAATCAAAATATAAATTATTTTTATTATGATATCTATGTTCTTAATATTATAGTTGAAAATTAATAAATAAAGAAATTTTTAAAGAATGAAAGTTTTTTATAATGCTTCAAAATTCTCTATTGTTGATTTAAGAATTAATACCAAATTTTAAATTAAAAAAAGTTTTATTTTTAATATCTAAAACAGATATCAAATTAAATAAAATAGCATATATATTATATTAAAAAAACTTTAATAAATCTACTTCATAATAACTAAATCTTAAAATTAAATTATTCTAATGAATAAGAATAAAAAATGATTTTTGTTAGTAAATTTAATTTAAAAATTTTTTTTTATTGTTAAATATGTTTGTTTAATTATGTATAAATTACAAGATCTGCTAATTCTTTTTGAGTCTATGTATTATATAATTATAATATTATTTTTTTCTAAACATTCTATCTAAGATAACTTGTATATAATATTCTGTAGTTTTATAATATATTTAAACAATAATAAAAACTCAAAAATTAATTTACAATATTCTATAATTAATGCAATAAAAACAAAATTTACATCATATCAACTTTTTCTAATAATCATTTGAACTAAACTTTTTAAAAATTTAAACTACAAAAAAATAATATAGTTAATATATTAAACCTGCTAAAAACTTTTTCAGAGTACTGTATATGCATAATTGAACATTGAAATAAAGTTGAAAAAGAAGTTGCAGCTTTGTAGTAACAGTTTAAACACACTTTGGAACTATAAAAGAAGTAGTTACTAAAAGCCAAAGTTTTTTATTAAGTAAACAACAAAGTTGAATATATTAGTTTTATACAACTATAAAACCTACAAAAAATATCTATAAAGATCAAGAACTTACAAAAACTACAAAGTTGATTCACCTTTCATCTTTATTTTGCTTCAAAGAAATTTTGTAAAAAGTGGGCAATCTAGCTTACCTCCTTCTAAAGATTGATATATAAAGCTACCAAAACAGTCAGCAGTGTTTACTTTCTAAACAGGTTTGTTAATAACATAGATCAAAAACAATACAGTAATATAAACATAACTATACACATGCCTCAAAATACTAAAAATCTAAAAATACTGCCTCTGAACTAACTAGTGCTTTATGCCAACCCTCTATAATCAAATTAAAAATTTTTTTTTTTTTATACAATTTTTTGTTAAATAATCTAAGTAAATAAAAAAATAGTAGAGTTATTTCTATTTAGTATAATTTATAATTTTTAAAAGCCTAATACAGATGTACATTTATGACTGTCTGATATTTGTGAATTGCAAGTTTCATATATTTTCTTTTTTCTCATTTATTCCTTTTTCTTATTTATTTCTTAATTTGTATCTTTTATCATTTACTCCTATACCTCTGTTTTGTTTTTATATAAAAACTTTTTTTTTGTTTTTTTGCTTCTTTACAAAAAGATGTTATCAGATTGGTAATATCCTATTGTAGAGCAACAGTCAAATGAACAGTCTATCTTTAACTAGAATAGTATGACAGATCATACTTAGGTACTATTTGGATGGCTAAGTAATGCTAGACTTATATATCAGAAAAATTCTATATAATCTGTATAGTTTCAAGAATTTTAATAAAGTACTAGCATGATTGCTAAAGTTAAAAAAAAAGTTATATTATACTGAGCTTATATAAACAAATCTTTAACAATTTTAAACCTTCTTGATCTATACAATAAACTTTTAATCTATAATGTTTATGAATATAAATAAGCTATTTATAAACTTTATAAAATATATAAAAAATATGATATAACTAAAGTAACTAATAAAATAAACTATTTTTACCTATTATTATTACTGTTACTAAAACAACATATAAGCTTTTTCATAATTTTAACTGCTTTTGTTAGACTAACTTAAATTAATATAAAATTGACAAATATTTAGTTAATTCTAAAACTGAAACAAAACTACTTCTTTAATAAAAAGCAACTTTTTTTGTTATTAAGCACACAGTCAGTTCTATTTGAAATTGCATAAATCTTTAAGTTGCATATATGTTATTGTGTCTAAAAAGCTAATACAAAGAACTAGATATGTTAAATAAAAGTAAGTAATATTAGTACTTAAAATAATAAAGTTTTTTTTTATATAAAAAAATTTTTTTATATAATTTTTTTTATATAAATTCATTTTATTAAAACTCTTTATATAAAATTTTTTCTATATATATAAATTTTGTTACAAAATAAATATAAAAATTTTGATTATATATAAAGTTTTTTTAATATCTACTAATAAAGTATTAATATGCTTAAATGGACTTATTTAAAGAATTTTAATTCAAAACCTGATCTTGAAATCAATCAACTAACAGTTTCTTATATTAAGTCTAAGACTATTGTTTTAGATTTTAGAATCAGACTGAACTAAATTTATAATTTAACATTTCTAAGTTAAGAATATTAAGTTTAGTCTAATATTTTTTTCTTTGATTTAACCTAATAGTCTGATTAGTAATGCCTCTTATTTAAAGGTTTTTGCCTATTTTATTTCTTCATATTGGTATTTGTTTTCTAAATCTAGTCTTTATAATAATATTATTAAAAAATTTGTATTATCTTTTTATTTAAATTTTTTTCAAGTTTTTTCAAGTTTTACAGATTTATATGATCAAAAAATTATCTTGTATTTGCATTGCTCAATACTGGTTTGTATCTTTTTGTGTAATTAAGATTACACAAATATCTTATGATTTGCTAGTTATATTAATATATTTATAGTTATTAGTATTTTATTTTAACTAATTAATAGAATATTATTGTCATAATACAATATTAAAAACTCTTTTTGCTGATTCTATTTTACAAATTTAGTCAAAACACAAAATTATAAATAACTCAACAAATAGTATAGAAAATATATATGAAAGCATTAAGAAAAAAAAGCAGACAAACAAAATATATAAGTAGAATACAAAGTTGTAGCAAAAGAAGGAAACCAAAAGACACAACAGTATTTTCTGTTGAAAAATAAAAAAAATCTTAGAAAATTGAAATTTTTTGAAGAACTACAGCTAACTCCAAAAAAAAACAGACAAGAATATATAACAAGTCATCTGAGCAAACAACAAATAAACAAACACAATATATACAAATTTAAAAATAAACAATATGTATAATAAAATAAACAAAAAAAACAGATAATAGAACTAGATATGCAAAATAGTCTAGAACAAGATTTGGGGCATATAGAAGTTATATAAACACAAAGTTTACTTAGATATATTAGCAATTATAAAGTGAAAGTAATAAGATATACAGATAGCAAAGAATCATTAAAGTTTTAAATACAACAAAATTAGCAAGCCTAAATGATATAGAGTTAATAGCAAAAAGTTTAGTAGTAAAAGATGTAAACAGAATTATAGTATATAATCTGCTTCTATATGATCAAATAATAACAGCATTTAGAAAAGCAAATAGCATAGAATTACAAAACAAAAATATAAAAGAATATGTTAAGAAAATTAAAAACATAAGTTTAAATTCAAAATTAGTTAAATTTCTTTTAAATATAAAACCAGAAGAAAATGTTATAGAAGAAGACAAGATGCAAGAAATAGAAATTATAACAAGTAATAAGGATATAAAAGTAGAAAGTAGTAAAAGAAGAAGACAACACCTAGAAAAAAAAAAAAAATAAAATAAAAGAAAAAATTAACAATAAAACAAAAAGACAAGAGATAAAAAGGTCACAAACTAAGAAGTTAGAGGAACAATCACAAAATAAAGAAGAGATAAAAGTCTCTTTAAAACAGAGTATATAAGCTTTAGCAAATAGGAAATGCAGCAACAACAGCTCATACAAGGCTAAAATACCAATTAGCAATCTAGAAAGAAACATAGTTCAAAAAAGATTGCAATATATAAAAAGTTTGTTAGAAGAAAACAAATATATAAAGTCAGTTAAAGAAAAAGCAACAAGAGAAAACAAATAAATAGAGTTAGATTTTAACTGTAATGGCAGCAGAAAAGCAGCAATAAAAGAACTTTACAAAAAAGATATAACTATAGCAGAAGCTACAAAAAAAAAAAACAAGAGCAAAACAATATATAAGAACAAAAGCATTATATAGAAACCAAAAAGAAAAGGAAAAGATTACAACAAAAATGCTTAATGAGAAGGGTAAAAAAAAAAGAAACAGAAAAAGAAAAAACAGACAAATTTCTAACAATCTGGAACCTTCTAACAAATATAAAAGAAGAAGAAGTTAAATTTATTTGCAGAAATATATAAGATATGCAAGTAGTTAAAATCAAAAAAACAAGATTCAAAACATTAGCAATAATACAGTTCATATTTTTTTTTTAAAAAAGAGCTCTATGATCACTGCCATTCAATAATAACAATCTAATATAAATAAAATAAAAGTATGAAGACTATATACAGAAAGAGAGCCAAAAACAATATATTGCTAAACTAATGAGTTTAGCAAAAGAGCCTTTGAGGTTTTGCTGCTAAGATGTCTAAGAAATAAGGAAGTGAAAGCAGTACATATTTTTCCAAACAAAAATGAAAATACAAGAAATATAACAACAATTACCTTTGCAAATAACATGAATTTAAAGAGAGCCATGAGCAAACTAATAAGATATTACAACTATACACTATATTAAAAGTTAAAAAAAGAACAACTACAGAACATATAAACTTTAAAAAAACAAACAAATACAAATATAATATACAAAAACTAGAAGAAAGAAGTTAGAATTTAAAAAAAGCCAAGTAACAAGCAAAAAACCAAAGAAAAAGAAAACATCAAAAAGGAATCTAGAAAAGACAACAAAGAAAATGGCAAAAAGGCAAAAGAGGTTTGGAAAAAAATTAAACTTTACTAAAAGATTCTTCAAGACATATTAGAAAAATTAGAGATAATAAGTAAAAAACAAGCTCAGTCTGCTTAGCACTTCTAAAAGTAGTCATAGTTAAAAACACAAACATAAATAAAGAGATTATAAAATTTCTGCAAAATGAAAAAAAAGCATTTAAAAAAAAACAACTAAAACAGCTTTCTTATCTAATAGAAATTAAAAACAAAAAAAATAAAGAAAAAAAAAATAATATAATAATATTAGAGAATAATTAACTCAAAAGAAAGTGAAAACAAAAAGCCAGAAAAAAACTTAAAATAGCATGCTATAATATTAATAAACTTAAAACTAAGGAAAAGAAATTAGAAAATCTGACTAAGCAAATAAAAAAAAAGAAATAACAATTCTAGGTATAGTAAAGATGATTATAGCAGAAAGAAAAAGAAAGTTTCTAGTACATAGTTTAAATACATAGCATAAAGGGTTTTAAACTAATGCAACACAAGATAAGAAAAAAGAATCAGATATAGAAATACTAATAGATAAGAAATAGAAACAACATATAGAAGTTATAAAAAGAAGCAATAAATATATGATAAAAATATAAATGTATTTTAAGCAATTAGAGCTAATTGTAATAGAAATATATATATCATCAAATGATAAATCAATTATCAAAAGCATATAACAAAAAGTAATAGAACTAATCTTAAAGAAAAAAAGACATATAGATAATTATATTCAAAGATTTTAATCACACAATAGACAATATATTAGGCAGACAACATTTACAAACAACAAGCTATAAAAATTTATTAATATTTAGCTGGCTTAAAAGAGTTTGCAGATATATACAGAAGCCTTCATCTAACAAAAAAAGCATACATATAGTCAAACAAAGACATTGCAACAAAAATAGACTATATATAGGTATCAGAACTGCTTGCATCAAATCTGCAGAAAGCAGAAATAAAAAAGGCAAAAGGGCTAACAGATAGTGACTACAAGATAGTAACTACAGAAATATGGCTAGAAACACAGTAGCAAATAACAGCAAGGCAGAAGTCAAGTGTAAAGACCAAATAAGAATAGTATACTTTTTTTTTTTTTTTAAATATTAAGGTGAGTATATGCAACTCAGGATTTTACTAATAGTATAAGTTGGCCAGCACCTGTACATGTACAAATGCAGAGACAATTACAGAAAGAGTATACAACTAGCCACTCATACAACTTTAGTCATTATCTAATTTAAGTAGTCCACCCAAAGGTTCTACACTAGTTGCTATACCTAGAACCCACTTGTAGATCTTCTATTTAAACACTCTGATTCTGCATTCATCACACCCTACTAGCAACTCTGGTAAACTAGTAAAGATATGCCATGGTCACTAAGTTATGTTTAACTTTTTACTAAACCTATCAGTATGTTCTGTATCTCATACTTACAGCTTACCCAATCACACTTTGGCCTAAACCATCACTTGCAGTCAGAGCTAACCATTAAACTGCTTTTACTCTTGTAAGGTTCATCCAAAACTCTGGTACCCATCTTTCTAACATCCTCTTCATTGTCCTCTACTAACTGCTACTCAGAACTGACAAAACTTCCTGGACTTCTAATTCAGATGGCCTGATATGATATATTTTAGTATCCTTTTCCTTCAGTGATTCTAGCAGTCTGGTTGGTCATATGCTTCTCTACACATCTTGCTATCTAGTTTATCTGCCTATCTCTTTGGGAGTGTTTCATAGGCTTCTATCAGTCCAATAGCACTATCGAAAGTTTTGTGCTATCTCCTTATTCAGGATTTCCAAGTAGGTTTTTAACTCTTCAGTTCCTTTGCTTTTCGTACCTAGTAGTCTTATCATGAGTTTGCACTGAAGTTTTATGCAACATTAGTTATTAACATTTCTCTGTATAGGTATAATGTTATACTTAGCATAAATGCCTTAAGCTCCCATTCGAGATAGTGCAACAAAGGTTACAGATACACCAATCCAACCGATTAACA